ATTTTGTACTGTTACTCTTTAATTCTTTGTGATAAAAACTTAGGTTGAGTAAAGCAATTTTGTGAAAATAATAATATTTTAAAGCTAAATAATTACTACTACTTGGGTTAGAAAAGAGAGTCTTGAATGGATATAAAGATATACATATCATTTGGATTTTATTATTTTTAAATTAAAGATACTACCGCTTAGATTTTATTTTTTAAAAATAGTGATATATCAAATCTTTTATGAATAAAATATCTTTTACAAATAAAATATATAATTTGATTAACCGTTTGAGTCCCAGGGGATATTGAAAAAACACTGTTGAAGAATCCCAAACAGCGCAACCGCGCTTTCTCTAAATGAGTACGAAAAGACTCAAGCAGCGCGATAGCGCTTGTTTTATTTTATGTCGAGAAATATCAAGCGGCGTGATAGCGCTTTGTTTATTTTATATCGATGAATCACAATCGGAGCAATAGCGCTTTTTGTATGTGTTAGGTAACGTGATTCTCGTCTTTTTCTTATCGCTCCGTCACATTTATTGCAGTTTGCAAAGTGATCGGACGTATTCTTCCGTAAGTGTTTCTTATTGTTCATAATTGTGTATTTCAAAATGATTAGACAAAGCAACGCAAAAAGTAAGTAAAAAATTAATCTAGATTTACTGTTTAACTTTTCTAAATTTGGTGTATTCCCAAAAAGGTACAATGAATCGAAGAAGAAAATCTATGAGCATAATCACAAATCCATGTGATCATATTATTGACGACGATGACGACTACATTGTTTCTGTAAAGCGCAAAAGACAACGCATTTTGAGTATTTCAGAGGATAGTGATAGTAATTTATCGCATCAATGTCCACTGAACAGTCTACGAGTTGCTGAAGACGTTTCTAATCAACATGATTCTCTCCAGCATAGCGAAGAATCTAGTTCGCGATGTAACCTCTCTAGCCAGAGTAAACCCATTGAATACTTTGAACTATTCTTTGATTCGACACTATGGTCACTAATAGTTGAAGAAACTAATAAATATGCGGAGTATTCAAGGCATTTACCTAGAGAATTAGAATCATTTGAAATAGAGATTTGGACACCAGTTACGGTTTTAGAGATGAAGGCATTTATAGCAGTGCTATTGGAAATGGGAATTACAAGAAGACCCAGTATACGTTCGTATTGGTCCGAAAATTCACGTAACATACCGTGGAAGAATGTTCTCTCGAAATAGATTTCAACAAATTTTGAAATATTTTCACTTAATTGATAACTCTTTATGTTTTCCACCTGGTCACGAGAAATACGATCCCTGTGCAAAATTTAAGCCACTTGTTGAACACGCCAATAAAGTATTCAAATTACATTA